ATCCTGTCTGTGCTGCAGGAAGAAGAAGACATCAGGCAGAAATGTCTGATTCCGCCGATTTTGTTACGGCCATCATGAATATATAAGGTCGTTCATGTGAACTCAGCCAATCCTGATGAGTGTGACAGAGGCTGAGGACAGCTTTAAGCTGTGTACAAGCTCTTCTTCATTTCCTCATTTCCTTATGCGCAGAGACAGAGCACAGCTGTGAGTAGTAACAGAGAGCCCAGGGCTCGGTTGCATCATTCTCTCTGCTGTGAAGCATTCTGTAGTGTTAACTAATCTGATGTAATATAATAGGGTTAGTATAAGAACCATCTTGATTTGTTATAACACTATCCAACACACGCACGCACACAAAGAACTTTGTTAGTGAGACATTCTGCAGGTCTTGAACGTTGACATAAACATTGAACCAGGGATGGAGTTTATTGATGTGTTTGCTTGTTGTAGGTACTGTACTTTATGGCTCTCCTGGCGCTTGTTCTTATAGATTTCCTTCCCTTTGATTACTTCTGGAGAGGGGCTTGGGGATGTAGTTTTGACCTGCAGCAGGTCAGCGCTTCGGCACCGAGCTCTCTAAGTGACTGGGCACTGTTTTCAGACTGAGTCATGAAAAGTGACCCACTTGTATTGTTTTTGGTCTGCAGGCGGGTCTGTCCAGACTGGCCATTGTGAGCACCGTGTGAGGATTTCCTTTGACCTGGTCAGCTGACTGGCCTGGAGTGTCAGGCTGGTGTAGACCACCTGATGGTATGACGGTAAATGTTTTATGAATGAAGGTTCTGAAAAAAATGAATAATCAACAGTTAATCATGCTATGTACTGTAGGAAAGCAGGAGATGTGTAGGCATTCTGTCAGGTGGAGGTAGCTCCAGTCACTCAGAGCTTCCTGAGCTTGATGATGATCAACTGAACCCCAGTCAGAGCTCTGAGGAAGTACCAGCTGCAAAACAGAGGTTCCAGAAGTGTACACACATTATTACATATCAATATTTATTCCTGTAGCTTCATTATGGAAGAGAGTAACTCATGAAAGAGAAGTCACGATGACTATTTTGAATGAATCTTGTTTGATGTAAAAAAGTAAAATGTTTGTTACTGGCATAAACAATAAGCAAAAAAAACACAGTTATGCTCTGTTAAGAATGTGAGAGATTGGCCTGGGTTGAGGTCAAATTCCTGGTCTGAATTATTATCCCAATCCTGCCGGTCCTGCCTTGACTGTTGGCATTCTAGCTATACACTGTAAATAAAGATGGATGTAGCCTCAGTGACGTTGCCCACACGAAGAGTGGGTTTGTAGTGAGCTGTTCCACCCCTTGCCATCTTGGCAGTGCCTGACTCCACCAAACTTTAGTTGCTAGTCCAAAAATGGCCAAAAAGGTGGGGTGTGGCAAGCATACGCTCCTGTTAGCATTGTTAGCACAGCTGCTCATCTGGGCGTCTGGCTTAAAGGCTAAACCAAGGCTAATTAATTTGCTAGCTAATTAGCGCAGACATTGATACCTGCCAATTAAAGCTAAAATATGAATGAAATAACAGCAGAATTTCATTCACCACAAAAAACAGGAGCACCAACTTCCACTTGTTCTGTTAATCAGTCAAGCAGCAGCAAGTCAAATTACCTGTCTGATATTTACATGAAGAATCCTCCAGAAGAACCAACACCACAAACACAGAGAGCTCACGTTTAGTGACTCCAATTAGCAAGTGAAGCTGAGCAGACAGCTAGCAACTAGCCAACTCTAACTCAAATGTACATAACTTTAAAGGGGTAATTTGTAAGTTTTCTCTGCCACCGCATGAGTGTTGTTACTTGTGCGTGGAGGTTATTGTAGCCTGACAGGAGCTTCAGTCATAGTTGTCTATATAATAATGTTATAGTACGTCCTCTGAGCAGCGTTCTGTCTTCAGGGTAGATTGGAGGCTACAGTGATTTGCTTAAGTGACAAGACAGGCTGATACAGGTCAGGCCATGCTAACTTCAGTAAAAAAGAAGAAAAAGCTGTAACAGAAAAAAGAGTGCTTTCCACCTCTGAAGACAGCGCTTTGTGAGTAAAGAAATGACGTTTGATGCTGAACTCACTCAATGGGATATGATATCTGAAAAAGGCACTATCTGACAGCCAAGAAGTTGAACTTTGGTTTGTCCAAAACATCCAGATTCAAGCTATTTATTATAAATGATATTACAGGGTACCAAATTTCATGGCTATCCATCCTGTAGTATTCCAGACATTTCACTCACTATACCAAAAGGAAAGTTTCAGTGTCTCATCTCAGTCAGTAGCTCCACCATCTGAGGACAGTGATGCCATAAGAAAAACGTTAGGGCCATATTTACAGTTGTTTCCGATATATTTTATTCTGGACTAAAGTGGCCAACAAACACACACAGACAAAAGGGTGGATGGGCGTTGTCATGCCCATGGCTGTATCATTAGTGTGTGTAACAATTGTGGTGCATGCATGTGGCTGGAGAAGCAGATCAGTGTGGTCAGAAGAAAACTAAAACCAGTGACCCATGTGCCATGAGCTTAGCCTGAGCCAGTTCATTATTTCAGCCTATCAGGAACTCCTGTAATTGCACCAGGAGGTAACAAAGTGATAACACTTTGGATCGCTGTGATTTGACGATTAAACAGTTATTCTGAATATGAACAAACATTAGTATCATAAAGACCACTCTATTATGTTATTGGTACAATGACCTCTAACAGACAAAGCAGTTAAATGACACTCAGAAACACTAAATTGATTGGTCTTACAACTGCATTCTGGGAAATCTTGAGAAGGAGGAACCATGCTACATGCTCATCTGCAACACAAAGTATAATCTATTGTTATATATTTCATCCCCTTTCTGTGTGTGGTATCTTGTGATGCTTTCTGTCGGCTCATGCTGCCTGTTGGATACAGTGCTGTAGGTGTGTGTGGCCCTTTAAGGGTGATTTTTCTTTCTTCTCTTGCTCAGCCCCACCTACGACTCCACCCATGAATGCCAGATTGCCTACAGACCTCAAATGTCACATGTGAGTCGCTTTTAGTGACTCATGAGTCACTGACAGGGCAGGAAACACTGCCCCCTGGTACGGACCTGCAGCAGGTCAGAATATACTCCCATTACTGGAATCCTCAGATGTGCTTCTATTATTTTCACTTCCTAGTTGCTGTCTGCATTGATTCATCCCCAGCTTTTGCTGTATGTAGTTGCTGTTGGAGTTTCCTATGTATTTGGACAATGGGAAAACAATTGTGAACTGCATGAACAAAGCATATAAGCTTTTTTTTTACGACATTCCATTAAAGATTTGATGAAGATCTGGTCACTGGAAACTTGGCTCTGTTGTTAAATACCTGGGGCCTGTTGCACAAAACACCTTAAGTTTTCTACTTATGTTTTAAGTATTAAGTTTAAGGTGTAATTTTTCCTTGGCTGAGGGAGTAACTTAAGGATGTTACACAGAATCTCTTAAAAGTTTTCCTTAAGGAAAAAAATTAAGTAATTTACAGCAATGAAAGGTTTTACAGCAGTAAAATTCTACTGTTTCCATGGAGACTGTTGATTTGCTTCCATTTGCACTTGTGATACCTGTTATCACTTTTGGGAAGCTGGTAACATTAAAGAAGTGCGCCGCTATCTCATCCTCCTGTTGTTGCTAAGGTCTTCTGTGCAAGGGTTTAACTGACTTTAAGTGATTTCTGAAATTTTACATTAAGATAAGGAGAAAATCTTAAATACTTAAGGGAACATTTTAAGGAACCCTTAAGGAGAAGACTAAAAGGTGTTTGGTGCAACTGGCCTTTTGTGTCCTGTATTAGACAGCAGAGAAACACTTTATTTTTATCCGGCATTATTCACTATCTTTAAAACAAATATTATCTGGAAATGTTTTCTTTGTTGATGCCTCAGGGAGTTCAAATGAAGCCACTGGTATAAATATGATGTTTACTGAGCAACAGGAAGAGTTTTCAGTGACTCTGTGGTTCTCCACACTCTGATTAACTGGATTTCCAGATAAAAAAAACGCATGTCAGGTTTAGTCCAACAGACTGAGAACAGAGAGTTTGTTTTCAGTCTTCTAATGAGAAGTGAACTGAAGAAAACAGTAAAGGCGGTGAAACACAGACTTCAGTGTACTAGGGTCTCGGTCTGTGTTTGTGCACAATGCTGTTTTAGACAATGACGTGGCCACAGTCTGAGTAAGAGGACAGATGAAGCTGCACAGTGTGAAATGATGATGTCCTTGTTGTGAGCAGAGCTTAAACACTTGGTTAACACTGGGGTGAAGTTGCAGCAGCGGCTGCAGGATCTGTCCATGGTACTGAACTCCAGTCTGGAGCCTCAGGACTTGTTCTTTATTTCCTGGTTCACATGGCGGGCTGCATGCTCACAGGTAGACTGAGGTGCGGGTGTGTTTAGAGGATTATAAGGAGAGCAGTGTTTGGTTTGTGCTGTAACGGAGCTCAGACGGTAAGACAGGCAGAGAGAGAGAGAGAGAGAGAGAGAGAGAGAGAGAGAGAGAGAGAGAAGAGGATGATGTCATAGTTTTTAGTCTGTGCCATGGAAGAAGCAGATGGCTGCAGCCTTCCGCCACCTTCTCCTTTGCTACGGTTTCCACCTCAATCTCCATTCCCGACATCAGCCTCAGCATCAGGACTGATCGAGGGCGAAGACTGACGAACCGCAGGGGCAGAATCGGCGAGGGGGAGGCCGGAGGAAACAAAGCGGAAACCCCCCTCCTGTCGGCTGGATGTGAGCGGATCATCAACCGAGGGAGAAGCCCGGCGAAGAGGTGATATGGACCGAAGCATCGGAGCGAGCGCGGGGCCATGTTCAGTCCTCCTTTTTGTCTTTATTCTGTATTATGAGCAGGCGGCAGCGTAGAGGAGCTAGTCCTGCCCAGAAAGGAGGAGGAGGAGGAGGAGAGACACGCAGAAGGGTGTCGACGGAGCGAGGCAGGGGTAGAGGAGAGCAGGAGGGGAGGAAGGGAGCAAAAATAATAGAGTAATATTACCAGCTTCTTATAATGGCGGCTAAATCGGACGGGGTCCTGAAGATGAAGAAGAGTGACGTGGCCTTCACTCCCCTGCAGAACTCGGAGCACTCCGGCTCGGTGCAGGGACTCCACCCGGGCGGCCAGCCCGACTCTGCGGGCACCGGGGACGGGGACTTCGCCAACGGGGAGTCGCGGTGCTGCGGTGGAGGAGGCACCAACTCGACGTGCCTTCGCCTGGGCAGGGAGCAGCAGAAATACACGGTGTGGGACTGCCTTTGGATCGTAGCCGCAGTAGCCGTGTATCTGGCCGATGTGGGCACCGACGTGTGGCTATCGGTCGACTACTACCTCCGCCGCGATTACTGGTGGTTCGGCCTGACGCTCTTCTTCGTGGTGCTGGGCTCCTTCTCGGTCCAGCTCTTCAGCTTCAGATGGTTCGTCCACGACTTCGGCACCGAGGACGGCGCAGAATCCGCCGCCGATTGCTCCCACATGGACGGGAATAAGCTCCTGAGCGGCTCGGCCTCGCACGGCGACGTTACCGCTCACCACCACCCGGCCACGCCGCAGAGACAGGCGTCGACCGCCAGCAAGAACACCACGACCAACAGCACGGCGAGCACCGCGGTGGGCAGCAGGAACAGGAAACGGTCGGCCTACTACTCCTTCTGCGTCTGGTTCGGCCAGTCCATCATCCACATCCTCCAGCTGGGCCAGATATGGAGGTAGGATGCAGGCTGGGATGGAGGCCTTGGGATGGGTAACAGGGATGGTGTGTGAGTATGGTGTGTGTTTGTTTATGTGTGTGTGGACTGAATGAATGAATGAGCAGAGGACTGCTCTGACAGCAGTTGGCACTCTTGGCACCATGGTGGCCTCTGAACGATGCCAGCTCATACAGCATGGCTACCAGCTGCCATCTTTAGCTGCTCCCCTCTACAGGGCCAACACATGGGGTCACTTCTCTCCTCTGCACCCTCACCTAACACAAGCTGAGCAGGACTGATACCTCTCCATCTTGTATTAAAAACACAGGGGAGCTGGTCCTGGTCTGTCAGCAGTGAACTGACGCTGATGGTATTTTCCTCTCACTGGAGAGAACCTCCACGGTTGGCCTAACAGCTACTGGATGAATTTGAAAGAACCTTAACTCAAGAGAAGCCACACATGGAGGCAGGTTGACAACAGTCATATATTAAATATCACCCAGCAGAATCACAAGTGAAGCCTACAGCCAGACTCTCACTGTCCTGTCCTGGTGTGCTCATAGGCTCCTGTACAGCGACCAGTGCTGGAAGAGATACTCAGCTTCTTTACTTCACTAAACATAAAAATACAGAAGAATCAGTCATGAAGAAAGACCCTATGATAAATGATTGTATAAGAAATTATTGGATTGTTAATACTATCTTTAACATGTAGCAGCATCTTCCTGCTGTTGGGTGTTTTAATCTATGACAGTGCATAAGATTTTATAAGCAGATCTTTTGTATAGCCTATAAAACTTTTAATTAACTAGTGATCGCAGCTGTTTCCCTCTGAAAGGTAGTGGAGTAGAAAACGGCTACAAGTATCAACTCATTATTTTAATTATTATTTTCCTGATTAATCATTTTGCCTACAAATATTAAAAAATAGAGGGAAAAAAAGGTCAAAACAATTTACATCTCATACCTGAGAGTCTGAGCTGCCACATTCAAACTGAAAGATATTTAGTTAAAGACTGCAGATATTATTTTTGATGTGACTGACTAACCAGCAGCCCTCTGGTTATACTATCTGATTATTTCTCCACACATTCATTTTCTAAATGTCTTTGTTTTTCATGTAAATGTTTTTGCAGAGGCACAGTAATCGGACACCTTTAAACAATGACGGTGACTCATATTGTAAGATGCTCACTCTTCAGCAGCTGTGCTGGAGCTCTCCATCATCTCAGCGCAGATCAGATCAGCTGCCGTGGAACTATCAGTGATCACAACTGCCTTTTACTGTAACGTCGTCTGTACCATGTTGGCCCTGAGTATACTGTATTACAGTATGTACTGTAGATATACAGTGACCATACACAGGAGCGGGAGACCTACATTTAAAAATATAAAGGTGGTCACTGATTACCATCCTGCATGGCAAAATATTTCCACCAAAACTGAAAGCTGCGCACAGCAGTGGATCACTAAATCTCCCACATCCCCAGAACCAGAGCACAGGACCTCAGGGTCCTCAGCTGTAGCTGTGGCCCTCACTCAGAGCCCCCCCTCAGAGTATTGCTGTCTGCTTCACCTGACCTGGGCTGCACGTACGGTCTGTAGCAGCATCCTGCCCTGTGACGGTGTGTAACCGGTCTCTGTCCTGTCTTTCACTGTCTGTTTCACTGGTGCAGCAGCTCTGTGACACTGAACGGGAATCAGCAGGTATACAGTTTTCAGAGTTCATCAGTTTAACCCTCTGTTGTCCATCAGAGGTGACAGACAGTGGAAAGAGTTTGGAAAACACATCAGGTGAATTTTCGTATGTGTCGCTTACTGTTAATTAAAAAGAACACAGGTTGCATTTAGTGACATTCATCTCAGATTATCCTTATGAGACGTCTGTTGATGTTTGGTACAAACCTAACTTGCAAACCTACATTAGTGTGGAATAGAGCTGAAACAGTTCACCAACATTTTGTAGATAATTGACTAATTATTTAAAAACAACATATTTTCTGCTTTTCTCTGTTTTCTATCATTGATACCTGAATCTCTTTGGTCAACACAAGACATCTGAAGATGTCACCTTGGACTTTTTCACTATTTTCTGGTACTTTAAAGACAAAATGATTTAATTAAAGATGAGTTGATGCAAACAGCTGCTGGTTGCAGCCCAAGTGCAAAACATTTGATGAATCAAAAAGCAGTTTTGAGCAGGGGTTTTCTTCTTGGACACCTTCCACACAGGTGGACCTCCAACAGTGTCTGATCAGGCAATGAAACACCAGTTTCCACAGATAATCAGAAGCTCTTACCATCTGTTGTTCAATGCAGGGTTGTGTAAATAGTGAAATGTTTTTGAGGACGGTCACTGCTTCTTCTGTTGTTGGTGGTATGGCTCTTCCTGTTCCTCTTGATCAGTGCTGCAGCTGTTTCTGCTCGTGGTCAGTATCTGCAGATGCTCCATCTGGTTTCTTCTTGTTGACGCAGCTCCTCGCCATGTGGAGCCATGTTGAATCAGACACAACCCAGGACCAAAGTGAGGAAGTGGTGGTGATCACAGGTTCTTTCATGACCCTGTTCATGAACCCTGATAATCACAGGTGTGATCTCTGTTGTACTGAGGTTGGACTTTGTTGTCTGTATTTTCAGTGTAGTCAATCTACCCTTTTTAATGACACATCAGATCAAATATCTACACTTCACAATAATACAGTTACTATTTACCATTGTAGTGATACCGCACAGTTGTACTCAGTTTTGTTGTGTTCTGTGTGTTTATTATCTAATGAATTTTCTGTAGATCGACTAACCGACTGTCTCAGCTCTCCATACAACCCAACTGCTACTAACATGATTCTGTGCTACCTTCTTATAATTGTCTAAAAACTCTTCACAATTCAAAAGTAAAACTAATTACTAATCACCAAAATTTGTATCAATACTTTACACTAGCTAATATCATAGTAGTGCTCTGTGCAGCAGGTTACTATGGCCCATAGTTACGTTTTGTTGCTAGGCGACATCTGGCGGTCATAGTAATTATGACAGGAGCAAAGGAGGAAGTCTGGTGACAACGCAAGAGACTGATGTTCGAGCATGTGAAAATTTATGTTGAATTATTATCCATGACCGTTCGATAAAGTCAACCATATTGTTATTATTGTAACCATGGCAACAAGATCGTCTAATGTTGTGGTAGGAAGTACTTATTTTAACCCAAATCACAACATTTTCCTAGACCTAACCAAGCTATGACCATTATTATCATAACCATGGCAACGATGTTCCAGTACGCCGCTGTCAGTACAGTCTTCATGTTTATTATTGTAACCATGACAACCATAGTCTAATACCCCTGCTGCGGTAGGGATGCTATTTCAGGAGACATGGGTCGTATCAGAGGGTCGGAGTAAACGACCTGTGTGGTTGTTCATGTGTGGTCGGAGGAGGTGTGTCCCCCACCCGGCCGCGCCCCTGGGTCCCGGGATCATGAAGCATGCGCGTCTCTGAGTCAGGCGTCAAAGTCGACATGTGAGCGGTTTGTGGGTGACGTCACTACAGTCATCAGTAAACCGCTGTGACTTCACTGCTGTTCACAGAGCAGCTCTGAGCAGCAGGTCTACTGTCTGTCACTGTGTGTGTCACTGTCTGTGAATGAAGAGGTGGAAGAAGAGAAGTGGAACAGTAACATTCTAATCATGTATATTTTTCCTCTGGGTTTTGCACTGCTGAAATACTTCATGTGCTCCAGTGTGTCGTGACTGAACCAGGATTTCTCTCACACTTCATGCCTGAGTCTTTCTGCCTAATATTAGAAAATGAGGGTGTAAAGATGACAGAGCAGAGGAGGAGTTGGGACTGTGAGGCTGTGACCGGAAGCATCGTGTTTTCAGGTTGTCCACCTCGGAGCTGTGGTGACAGTGTAGATCGTTGTGCTGTCGGCTTGAAGATGTGTGTGAAGCACATTGTAGATTTGTAGCTTCTCTGCAGCACAACAAGAATAACGAGGCTTAACAAAGTCAAGAACTACATGTATATTACAGAGTCTGGACAAACATGTAAACTGCAGCTGATTGGTTGGTGGATGAAAACAACTGTGAGGTCATTCTGACTGAAGGTAATCATGTTAAGATGGGAGTATTAGAGCCACAATGAAGAAAGAAATCTCAAATTTCAAGAATGAAGTCATGATAACATGAGAATAAAGTCGTAATTTTGAGAATAAAATCATAATATTTCAAGAAAAAAGTCTTAATAAGAAAATAAAGTCATTATTTTACAACAAAATTGTCATCATATTTTGAGGAAAAGGTTGTAATATTGCGAGAAAAAAAGTCACATTACCAGAAAAAAGTAATAATATTTGGAGGAGGAGAAAATACTAACAGGAAAACAGTTAAAAATCCACAATAATATGTATAAGTTGCTTCAGAGAGTTTTTTTGTGTAAAGCAGATGGTATCTCTAGGTTTATCGATCCCACTCGCTCTATTTGTTCAACAGTCTGTTTGTAAAGAAATAAATAACACATCTCTATTTTTATTTTGTTGCTGTTTCACCCATAAAACAATCTTGAAGCCCAGAGAGACGATTTACAATTAGAGTAAACAGAGTAAGAATTAAACACTCATGTTACTGTTTTAAGCACGTAATTAAATGTGCAGATCAATACATTACTGTATTATATTGAACTTGATTATCATGCTTAGTTGGTGTGCAGCATCTTAAAGAGCTATTGATGCATTTTACCTTTATCAGAAAAATGACAGCTCCTGCAATATGGATATTGCGAGTTTAATTATATTTGATTAAAGGGGACTTATTATGTTTTCCTGGGTTTTTCCTTACCTATAGTGTGTTATATAGGTTTTTGTGCATGTAAATGATCTCCAGAGTCACAAGGATCAAAGTTTACATCAATGGCAGAAACTCTGTGAGGGTAAAAACCCAATTTTCTCCTTTGTATAAAACGCCTTGTCTGGGCTCCAGACATTACTTCCTGGTCCTATTGACATCAATACTTGGCACGCC